AGGATGTTGCTTCACTGGCCCAAGTTGGCACCATCATTGCGCTCTTCTCTGGCGAGGCAGATCAGTCACCGGCTTCTGGACGGCCGCTCACTGCGGCTGCTGGCCGCTCACGCTGGCTGCTGGCCACACACGGTAGCCCATGGCAATCCACTGCCACAGGGACTGCAGCCCACGCCGTCGCCGGCGACTCATGGCAGCCCAGCTCCAGGTTGAGCTGTTGTTCAGCATCTTAGCTGTGGAGGGCAGTGTCACTGGCCCTCATATGTGGGATCCGAACCGGGGCCCTCTGGCATCCCAAGCGAGTTCTTAACCATCGCGCCACTCGGCTGGCCCTCAACCAAATTTTAAAATACAAATAATTTAATATAATTAGATTATGTTAAATGATTTGAATGTTCAATCTGAATAAATGAATACAACACACTAATGAGAAGGCCACCTAATTTTGTTACACTATTGAAATGGCTGTTTTTTAGGAAAATACATTCTGTTCTTCATCTTGTTCTACTTTCTCTATTTCTGAAAAATTAGTTATTTCTTCCGTTCAGCTCTATTAAAGGAAGTAAAATATTGAAGGGGAGCAGAATATGCTACTCCAAAATATGCCTCTTTGGCATAAGAATTATTTTGAGCTGATTATTTTGAGAAACTGAAGGCACAGAAAAAAGCTCTGAAAACAGAGTAGAAGTTACCCTTTTTAGTGTACTTTCCATTAGAAAGGGGGCCTGTACCAGGAAGAGAACTATTACCAGAGATAACTTTACGTGAGAGATTTATCTATGTGGTAGGGCAATTTTTGTTTACCAAACATTTCATTTTTTCTATTCATCTTCCCATAAATTGCCTTCCTCCTCTTTGAAGCCCTAGTCCCCCATCCCTTTCCTCAGCTCAGGATGGTAATAAGCCTAAACCTCCGGTTAGGAGTGCCATTTCTGGGGCTCCTAAAAACATAATTAAAATTGTTTTTTTTTGGGCCGGCCGAGTGGCTCGATGGTTAAGAACTGGTTTGGGATGCCAGAGGACCCCGGTTCGGATCCCACATATGAGGGCCAGTGACACTACCCTCCACAGCTAAGATGCTGAACAACAGCTCAACCTGGAGCTGGGTTGCTGTGAGTTGCTGGCGACGGCGTAGGCTGCAGCCCCTGTGGCAGTGGGTTGCCATGGGCTACCGTATGTAGCCAGCAGCCGCAGTGAGCGGCCGTCCAGAAGCCGGCGACTGATCTGCCTCGCCCGGGAAAAGCGCAATGATGGTGCCAACTTGGGCCAGTGAAGCAACGTCCTCCACAACTAGACTGAAGAACAAAAACGACAGCAACTTGTCTGTTCCCCTTCCCCCAATTCCCCAGCACTGTTCCCATCCCCCCAATTCCCCAATAAAAATCTTTAAAAAAAATTGTTTTTTTTTCTCCTGTTACTCTGTTTTATGGCAATTTAATTCTTAGACCAGCCACAGAACCTAGAAGAGTAGAAGAGAAAAACTTTCCTCCCCTATGATATTCACAGCCTAAAATCTGATTTTCTGATTCTCGCAAAGATATCTTATTTATTAAAACTAAAATTCACTCTAATAATTCATCTGCAGATCAATTAATTATATTTCCAATACTGATGTAAGAGGAAATAGTCCAATATTTTAGATTTAGTAAGAATTCTAGTCAGAGAATAGTAGTGTAATATAACTAAGCATTATTAAATATAATTTTTCCATTGACATTTGAGAACCACTCAGAAATATATCTTACTGCGATATTAGTGATTTTAGGCAATCAACTTCTTAAGCTACTTTGGTGTTGTTAAAAGATAAACTGAGTCACAATAAACATTTTAAGAGTTTATTTGAGCAAAAATCAATTCCACTGGGCAGTGCCAAATCAGAAGTGGTTAGGAGGACTTTACCAACAAGAGCTGGGAAGAGACTTTTATGGAGAAAAGGCTAAAGCAAAGCAAGGAGATTATTGATTGGCTAAAGCTTAAAAGCGTAGTTGGATGTTTGTGATTGGCTGTCCTCAGCTTTTGATTTCTTAACCTTGAGGTGTTCACAGGCTCAATCCTGGTTTGCTTATATAAATGCCATGGCAGTAGAGCCACCTCAGTCTAATGGCCTTGTTTAATTAATTTAACAGTATAACAGGACTTGTCTTTTGCCAGCATCCTGAAAACTATGAGGCTTAGTCAATAACGATACCTGTAAACACCAGAAACGGCACCTTCCAGGAAATTTCAATCTGAGCCCATTTTGCCTACCAGAAATGTTTTTATACCCTTGCCCACCCTTCCCAGTCCCCTTTCCATGATATTACTACAAAATGTAACGAGTCCCAACATTGAGAAAACACAAGACCACAGAGGAGGGAGCTGCTAATTCTGCCTATGGATGGTGGGAAAGCTTTTACAGTGGAGGTAGTTCTTGCAGGGTTGAGCCTACTCTAGAAGCATGGGTAAGAGTTGTTCAGGGTGAATAAGTAAAGAGATAATGTCAACAGGTGACTGGCTTGTTGTCTTCGCAGGGAGTTCTCACCGACTCTCCTTGAGAATCAGAAATCTTGAAAACAGGCCAGAATCAGAAAATTTTACACCACGCCCTCTGGAGGTGATCTAGTGTGACAACTCTGCCTGATAGGGAGGCCCAACAGGGATTGAGACAACCCAGCCAAATCAGAGCTTCTCTCTTAGGCTGAGTCAGGAAGCTAAAGGGGGGGATACTGAAAAAGAGTCAGAGCCACAGGAATAAGGTGGGGTGATTCGAGGGGAGGGATCACCCGGTGAATACCTCTGAGGAACAATAAAAGTTAGAGTTACTGTTGGGTCACTCCTGGAACCTGGCTGTGTAGCTAAGAATGTGACTTCCTTTGCTTCTTATAAAGTTAATTTGTATGTCAGGACCTACAAAATGAATGCCGCCGCAGTGGCCTGGTTCATTTCACAAATCTAAACCTAAATCAGCCTGCACTTAAAGGAAATACATGAAAGGAAACCTAACATGCACCAATAATAATAATCCTCCAACTCAGCTCTAGCTAGCTCACCTCACCTTGAACAATAGGACCTGCTGGCCTTATAAGGAAATCCCCAATCTCCTAGGCAATCCTGTCCTTCTAATGCTCTATAAAACTTGATCTTGCCCCAAACCCCTCTGGCAGAGTGCTCTGCTACTTGCAAGGCACTGTATTTCCTCAATCCATGGATTGTTTTCCCTTGAATAAAGAACATTAAACTCACTACTAAATTGTTTTAGTTTTGTCATTGGATATTTCTTTACTTTTTAATGTATGTATTAAGACCCATCAGATAGTGTGGTAGATAAAAAATGGCGAAAAATTCACTGGAGCTCCTGCCCTCAAGAGATGGGTCTATTTCCTCATCTCTTTAATTTAGATTGCCCTTATTACTTCACAGAAGGAGTGTCAAGAGAATTTCTAGCCTAGGCCTCAAGAGGGTTTGCACATTTCATTGTCATCTTTTTTTTCACTCCCCGGCTTTGAACAAGCCTGAGTTAGTCTGGTGTAGAGACCATGTGGAAGTGGCTTTCCAGCCAACAGCCTGCCAAATGCCTAATAGGTAAATGTGTCCATCCTAGACCATCCATCCCTAGCCAAGCCATCAGCTGATAGTAGATGAACGAGTTAGTGAGCCTAGCTGAGACAGACAGAAAAACTGCCCAGCCCACCAACTTGTGAGCTAATAAATGATTGTTGTGTTAAGCCACAAAGTTTTGGAGTAGTATTTTAGGCAGCAGAGACTAAGTAATTGCTATTATTTGAAACATGATAGAGCATAATATATCTGTCATGGAAAAGAGTTTGACTATTTTTTTTCATATTGCCATTTTCCAGAAATAATCCCTTTTCAAATTAGGTAAAATTTGATGCAATCAGGGGGACAGTTTAGGAGATTGAGGCATAAGATAATCAGAACCCGAACTAAGGTAGTGGAAAGGAGAACGTTAATAAGAGAATGGGTTAATGGGTATTTCAGAGACTTCCAAGTCACATTCCTGAGCAGGGCTATTGATGACATTTTCATTTTGCAGATATTCCTTCTATCGTGAATAATTACAGATTTGTGTGCCAATGATTTTCCTGAACAATCCCAATAATTGGAGCTGCTGGAAAACTCCTAAATTCTGCAATAACTTAGGTTTAACCCTTCAAAGCACTGCTCATATGAGTGAAGACAGTAATTCAAATAAGTGTGTGCATACACAATTTCAAAGAAAATTAAACAAAATAATAGGAAGCCCAAAATACGAAAACCTCAACGGAGAAAAAAAACACAAACTAGATCCTTCAAGTTGATTTCCCCATATTTTGATTTTTAGGAGAAAGAGATATATGATAGCACTATGTTTCAATAGAAATCTAAAAATATGTTAATGGTATTTTATGATCCTAAAATAATAAACCTTGATTATAGAAAATGCAGGAAATGACATTAAATCAAAGGTAAGAAAATTTGAACGCCCATGTTCTTACTTGCCAGAGATAACCATCATTAACATTTTGATGTATATACCATAAATTTTCCATATAACACACACATACACACACACAAGTCCAGTTAGTTTAAATGAGGAAATAACACAGAACTTTTAGTAAGGAGATGTGAGCTTTAGTATCAGATATTTTAACTAGTTGTGTTGCCCTACGCAAGTCAATTAAGTTCTTTCACTCAATCCTGATAGGTGTATAATAACTCTTTTAGCTGCCTCATAAGTAAATAGACAATAAATTTTATGTGAAAACACTTGGCTAAAGTTAGTAAAAAATGCAACTAAATATTTGTGTGTAAGGTGCTATTACATTAATTTTGATTGCCATTTAAAAAATTTAAACTTTTAAATGACATACTTTTAGCACTCTAAAAAATCCAGTATTCATATAATGTGAATTAACATATGAAAGCTAGTAACTACAAGACATTTATTAATCCATTGTCATTTATTACAATGAGAACTTATAAAAATGCAGGTAAGGTATCATGAAAAGATTCCTACTTACCACAGTTTAGGAGTTCTTGCCCACAGCAGTGAATGACCTGGCATCAGCCCCTGCTTCAGGTGTTCAGAGATTCAAACTGTTCACAGACTCTGTCAGGTAGATTTGGCAGCCTGTTTGAGATGTGTCAGTCATTCCACTGTTCAGAGTAAGTTTGTCAGTCTCCTCATCTGTGATTACATCTAATTTCTCAAATATGTGCTCTTCAAAGGTGAGATGAGAGGTAGAACACCCAAACCATCAAAAACATTTAGATTATTTCCCACACAACAATTTGCCAAGAGCCACCACCTTTTCCTTTGACTTTGTCACTAGGTTGATTTTCTAAGAGGCAACGATTCCTTCTAACACTCTTCTTACCACACTATTAAGTAGTGATGCGGAGTGCTTGGTAGGTGAGGAACTTACTGCGGTCAATTAAACATATATTAAGATGACTCTTAAGTAAATAATTTAACATCTGGAGAGTTAATCAGAAAAAGAAAACATTTTATCATCTGTTTCAGTCAGCTAAAACTGAACAGATGTAAATAACAAAAACATGCTTTGATCAATGTCCTTTGGCTGCACCACTAGAAAAAACTGGCTAGATTCTGTTTTCTAGACTGGTGGTCCGGTACCAATAGCCCAAACTTGGCAAGTGACTAACTCCTCTTTTCACATGTTGAACTTAGTAATCATTTGCTCTTCCAATATGAATTCTTTCTATAAATCTCAAAAGGGTCAACTCAGAATGTAATAAACTTAAAGGAAGCTGGGCATAGATGTCAGTTTAATACCAAAAGGCAATGAAGAAAATAAAGGAAAAAATAAAAATCTGGAATGAAAAAAGAAGAAACTGTTCACTTAGAAAAGAAGATTTTAGTAGATATAGTTTTGTTTGATGTCAACCCAACCTACGTTCTCTGAAAATTTTAGTATCCTTGTTTATGGCATGTGACTAACTGCCCACCACCCTCCCCTCTTCCCCTGCTCCCCAGCCGGACAACAGCACATGGATAAACATGGAAACCTGAGCCAGGGAAACTGGGCAAATTCAATTCTTCCTCCTGATATTTGAAATGGCTATTCAGATATCAATTATTCTATTATTCTCTTAGAGTGGCTGGAAATGAAGTGATATCCACTGGGCAACTGTTTAGAAGCTGCCTCTTTCTTCCAATTGTCCTGGGGAACAGAAAATCTAATTTTCAGAAGGAGTTGGGGAGAGAGAGAGAGAGAGAGAGAGAGAGAGAGAGAGAGAGAGAGAGAGAGAGAGAGAGAGAGACACATCACTGAGGTTGAAACCAAACAATGGAATAACATTTTTACAGGATTTTCATACCTTTTCAATTTCTCATTTCAATTCTTCATTCCTGTTCTTGGATTCTGTGAGATACCATTGAGACTTTATGGATTAAATTCTCCTTTTTTCTCAAGCCATCCTTTGGTTTTCTATTTCTTGTAACCAAGAATTTTAACTAAAACAAAGGACCAATGAGGTAAGATAAGAGGGAAGGAAGTAAAAGATATATAAAGAGATCAAATAATAATTTGTTATTTCAATAATACAAAAAACAGTTTCGGGACTAAAATGTGTGTTAGGAAAGGGCCCTTTGTCCCTTCCCTGTCCCACATTACTTTGCATTATTCTTTATGTTGGATGGGCTGAGTAAGGACAAAAGAGATGGCGATTTGGGAGGTTTTGGTGGTCTGGAATATGTCAGTCTATCCCTCACCTTGAGCTGTAAGTACTAAAATACTCGATGAGATTTTTTGGATTTTGGAGACAATGTATATTATATTTGAGTGTACTGCTCTGAAAAGTTTATTTACTGGGTCATCGGGAAAGTCATGACGTATTTTTCTATGTTTTTCTATAGTAAGGCTGCTAGATTTAAGTGGGCCCAGAGTAAGAAAAGGCATTTCAACAAGTCCAGGCTGTAATACAAACAGTTCTGTGCTTTGGGAGCTATGACACAGCAGATTGAACAACCATCAGATTTTCTGCTATGGGGCTGCTGTATAGAATTTCTGAATAGTGTCAATAAAAGAATCACAGTGCAGACCCCTAATGGCTTTGGAGCAAACCATATCTTCTTCTGCCAATAACTAGTCTTTGAGAAACAGTTCCTGGCTTGATACTGGGCCCTGGAAGAATCTGAATGCCTAGCCAAGCGACCCCAAGTGACCATGCAACTAAGTTGCCAATCATGAACTATGTGTTAACTAGTCCATCACACCCTAAGGTTGGCAGAGCGTAGCAGCAACCCATCATTAAGTGGAAGTGGTATAAGATTGGGTTCGAGCAGGCACAGAATACACAAGTCATTTGCAGGAACAGAGTTCAGACTTCTACAACTTCTCTTCCTGATTGCTCCTTCTCCCTTAAACCTACACGTATAGTCTCATGAGCAGTTCCTTATAACCAGTTGACTAAAGAGGGAAAAATTCAGGTTTGCTACAAATGACTTTGCATGATATGCTGGCACCAACCACATTTACAGTCATAATCAGGAGTATTCTAGAAAGACAATAGTGAGGCAAAATCCTTCCAATGAGCAGACATGTGAGCAGTACCTTTGGTTGTTTGTTTTTTTTCCCCACCTCCTACCGAAACCTTCCTCCGATGCTCCAGGCAGACAATTTCCCTCCTTGAGCTCTCATGGTGTCCTATGTATAACGCTGCTATTGACTCCAGGGGATCACAACTGTCTACCTGTTTGATTGCATCTCAAGGGTAATCTTGAGGCAGAGCCTATGTTACACTCGTATCCTTTTCCTCTAGAAAATCCTTGCTGCACATTGGTGCCCAGTAACTGTTCTTCAAACCTCATTATGATGACTCTCTGAGAATGTGTTTGTTCCTGGGATCAGGGAGGTATGACAGGAAGCATTGTTGTGTAGAAAGCAGACTGGCTCTGAACACTGAGGGAGAATCCTACCTCTGCTTCTCAGGAGCACTGTGACTTGTACACATTGAGGAACTTCAGGAAGCTCAATGTCTTTACCTTTCAACAGTGAAGAAAGATAATACTGACCTTTACTAATAAAGACAGTAAGATAAGATTTACTATCTCACCAGTTAACTGGGGTGAGGGTGAGGGTATGAGGCAAACAATGCGTAAGTGGGGCAGGGTTTTTCTAAAGAGGTGAGGTAATCACACTTTGATGGTTTGAAGAAAGATGGATTTTCAGAGAGAAAGGTGGGCCTCAGGAAGGGAGGTGGGGAAGGCAAGGGCTTGGGGGTGTCCATGAGAAGAATCCCTGTTAAGGGTTTACTTTTTTCATGTGTGTTCACAAGCTTTTACAGGTAAAAATGAAATTTCCCTGATAATGTTGTAATTCTCTCTAGTTAATCATAACCTTTAAAAAACTTTTTAATATCCTATATTATTTAACCCAGTATATCCAAAATATTATCATCTCAGTATATAATCAGAATAAAAATGTATTAATGAGATATTTTATGTTCTTGTGCCTTTGGTACTAAGTTTAAGAAACCTCCTGTGTATTTTACACCTACGAGACATATGTGGCTAGTGGCTACCACACTGAACAGCACACCTCTAGATTATTTTGCCCAGAACCCTCATTCAACAAATGGGGGTCCTGAGGCTCAAAGGTGGGCGCTCACCGGCTCCTGGGAATGCAGGCCGTTGGCTTTATCCCACATCAAACAACCCTGTAAGGTATCCGAGGTCCCTCACTGCCTGGAAAGTGGCCCACACGACAGCTCCCATCCTGGTCTCCCAGGGGAGGTGTTGCCCACACATGGATCAGGCTTGAGGTGGTCTGCACAGACTCTTATTTTACCTACTTATTTTACTTACCCTTGATCATCTTCTGAAGGAGAATCAGCTGAAAGCATTGGGTTCACAAGTAGGGAGGGAGTACTTGGAATCTGTGTCTTCTCTGACAGCCCCTCCACTGAGTGGCTGGAATGAGACACTGAATCACCACCTTTCTGCACAGCCTGGTTTGGAGATGTTTTGGTGAAAAAGGGGAGCAAAGAATATCAAGAAGTTTGACCTACCCCAATTCATTGCATCACTAGTTCAAGGAAGCCTATGGTCCAGTTCTGTTTTGTGGCCAGCAGCAAACTTGGAATAAAGGGGAGAGACACAAGATGAAATCACCACGGCTGTACAGTGACTCAGAAGCAGACATTCTGCAATCCCCGTTTCCCCCACATATTAATCTAGATGGTTGTCTAGATTAGGTCTGGGAAGATGATGTTGTGTTATGTGAAGATGAACAATACCTAATGTGAACGTGTCTGCCTGGGCTATTAGTAAGGTCTAACTAATCGGCTGACCTTTGTTATCATTACGTATATACAATTTGGGCACAATTATTATTTGGAAGTATGGTAGCATGGGCTCTGGAGCTAGAGAGCTTGTGTTTGCATCCTAGATCTAATATTTATTAATTTTGTGACTTTGATCAAGTTAATTAAACTATGTGTGCCTCACTTTCTGTATCAGTAAACTGGGAATAATAGAATTATTGAATTTACCTCACTGGATTGTTGTGAGGACTAAAATAAGTTCATGTATATAAAGTGCTTAGAACAGTGTCTGGCCCATGATAAGTGCTTCATAAACGTTAGCTAGAAATGCAATCTAGCCATTATAAAAAATGTCAACCATTAGATGGAATTATAAGGTTGTGCAGACTCAGTGGTGTGCTGGAGTCAGTCATACAGTCTGATGAGAGCTGATTGTACAATCCTTTCCCAACTTTGTGTTCAGTGATGAAACATTGATAGCTTAAAATCAGGCACATTGGGAATATTTACACCATGGAAATTGGCAAATGCTACGAATCTGGACACTCCCACCCTCTCTCTGAGAATTAGTTGTTAAACATTTACTAGGATACCATTAGCTATGTTTACCAGAAAAAGAACCTTTTATCATTAGCAGGTGATTCTTTGGATCCATGGATGCTATAAAACAACTAATTTTCCATTTTCTCTACACTGTGAATAGGATCAGAAGCTTTCCCCCATCAAGTATTGTTATAGCTTACATTGTTTTTAGACATCTGGACTAGTCAGAAAGTCTGTATTTTTGTTCTGGCTCTATCACTTAATAGTTAATTAACTCTGGGAAAATGTCTTAGGTCTTCTGTAACTTCATGCTCTCTTCTGTAAATTGTTAAAAGTAATGTCTGACTTGCCTACAACACAGATATTTATGTTTTAAAAAATACATATAAAAGTGCTTTATAAAATCGAAATCCTAAGCAAATCATTTTATCAAATGGTACTATCTAAGGGAAAGCTCACAATAAGAATAGTTTCACTTTGGATTTTTGACTACAGTACTACTATTGGGAAAGCCAAAGTGCATACAATTTCCTGACAAATTATTTCATACTTACAGAAAATGCTGGTAACATCTCTTAATGCCCACAGAGCAATTATGTAGAGATTCTTTTTTTTTTTTCAAATCAATAGAAAATTACTTTTCTATATATCCTTACAAAGAATGCTTTCTGGGACAACTGTGCAAAAATCTATTATGTTTGAGGTTTCATTTTGGTGATTGATTTTACATATATATATATATATATATATATATATATATATATATATATATAAATTTAAGCTCAGCAGACAGCAGTAAGGAGTGAATTATTTCTGCTCAGGTAGTAACAGATACATATCTTTCTGTAGCTTCACAGCAAAATATGCTCCTCTTCATGAAGAGTTATGTAAGCATTTCTCAGTATTGTAAGCCTCAGATTTCAGAGAAAACAAGGTGCACTGAGCGAGACTGAGAATTGTTGGTAAGTCCTATGTGTTGATCATTCTCCTCTAGTCTTCCAGCTGAAGAAGGGGAAATTCAAAGTCTGTTTCAGCAAGTCGTTGTCACAGAGAAGACAAAGAATGTTCTGTGGCCTCCAAGTCCTTAGAAAATGTCATTCCATATATGACAAAAAGTAATGTATCTGAGTTGAGATGAGAAGAATCTGTGGTAATTTTAATCATGCAGCTGCTTTGCCTTTTATTTTTTATAATTCTTTATTTCTTAATTACAGCAACATACAATATTATATTAGTTTTAGGTGTACAACATTGTGATTAGACATTTATATAACTTATGAAATGATCACCCAAGTAAGTCTAATACCCACCTGACACCATACATAGCTATTACCATATTACTATCTTCCTTGTGCTGTACTTTATATCCCCATGGCTATTTTGTAATTGCCAATTTGTACTTCTTAATCTCTTTCCCCTTTTCATCCATTCCCTGAACCCTTCTCCCATCTGGCAACCATCAATTTGTTCTCTGTATATACGAGTTTGTTTCTGTTTGATTGTTCATTTAGTTTTTTAGATTCCACATATAAGTGAAATCATATGATATTTGTCTTTCTCTGACTTATTTCACTTAGCGTAATAGGCCCATCCATGCTGTTGCAAATAGCAAGAACTCATTCTTTTTTATGGCCGAATAATATTCCACTCTACATATGTACCATATCTTCTTTATCCAATCATCTATCGATGGATACTTGGATTGCTTCCATATCTTGGCTATTGTAAATAATGCTACAATGCACATGGGGTGCATATATCTTTTCAAATTAGTGTTTTAGATTTCTTCAGATAAATACCCAGAACTGTAATTGCTGGGTCATAAGGTAGTCCCATTTTTAATTTTTTGAGGAACCTCCATATTGTTTTCCATAATGGCTGCACCAATTTGCAATCCCACCAATAGTGTGTGAGTGTTCCCTTTGCTCCACATCTTCACCAACACTTCTTGTTTATTTATTAATGATAGCCATTCTGACAGGTGCGAGGTGATATCTCATTGTGGTTTTAATTTGCATTTCCCTGAAGATTAATGACATTGAGCATCTTTTTCTATGTCTATTGGCCATCTGGATGTCCTCTTTGGAGAAATATCTATTCAGGTCCTCTACCCTTTTTGTAGTCAGATTGTTTGTTTTTTTGGTGTTAAGTTGTATGAGTTCCTTATATATTTTGGATATTAAACCCTCATTGGATGTATCATTGGCAAATATCTTCTCCCATTCAGTAGGTTGCCTTTTTGTTTTGTTGATGGTTTCCATCACTGTGCAGAAACTTTTTAGTTTGATGTAGTACCATCTGTTTATTTTTTCTTTTGTTTCCTATTGCTTTTTACTTTTTAAAAAGTTTTATTGAGAAAGTAGGTTTAATGGCATCACATCAATATGCTTTGTTTAGATTCACATTCATCAGAAATTTATTGTAACTTTATTTTGTGCTAGTTGGTCTTATAAGAGTAGCTTTTCCCAAGTGTTAATAGCTATAATAATGGGAACTCCTTTAGATATTTTTTATTGTTAAATAAATTGGAAATAATGTTAAAGTGGTGTTTTTTTAATTGTAGAAGCTTTAAAATGTCAATATGCACTCTGGCTTTCCCACAAGGAAGTGTAGGATGAAGTGTTTTCCAAACTTATTTGGCCACAGAATCACTCATTTAAGAACATTGCAGGGAACAGGTATACTCCAGAATACATGTTGGTAAACCCATCCTAGGCAGTTGTTAGGTGAGTTGACAACCAGAGTGAACCATTAAAAGTGGTTCAGAGGAGGGAATGATCTTTTAAGGATGGAGGGAATTGGGGTTGGGGGGCTTCATGAAGGAGGCATTTGATCTGGGCCGTGAAGGATGAGGCGGATTTCAATAGGCAAGATTGGAAACTGGGAGCTTTTCCGACGGGGGGAGAGGGATGAGCAAGGACATAGAGACGGGAGGGCACACACTTTATTCAAGGAGTGGCAAGTGCCTCTTGCTGCATCGCAAGGGGTTCTTCTTAGGTTCAAGTAAACATCCTCCAGACAACCACAGACCACACTTGGCCCCAGTCTACTCAAGAGAATGTAGGACAGGAAGGACGTAGGACAGGACAGCATCAGGCTTTTAGCTTTACAGTGATATTTGTGGCCAAGTCCATGCAGCAGTCTATATAGCAGTCTATACAGCTGTTTATATAGCTGTCCAGTGTTTTCTTTCTCCTCCTCCCCAAGTGACAGCTCCGGTGCAAGGGATGGAGTCTCATATTGGGCAGGTAAAGGAGTCCCCCCCCTCCCAGGCTTAGAAGCTCCACGCCCCTTTGGAGCCAATAACTCTTGTTACAATCCTATGCATAGCTTCTGGTGTCCTCATAGGGGACATGCTCAATTACAAGAGTCACCATACTCAAGTCCGAAGTATGATTTATCTCCAGGTATTTAGAGTTCTTTCTCATCCAGATGGAATTTACCAGTCAGAGATCATTTTAACCATGAGCAATTCTGCCTATGTAACATAGTTGACATAATAATCTTATTAGATTTCCAAGGGAACAGAGCTTGAATGTTAATTAGCCAAATGTCAAATTCTTATTCAGAAGCTGTGCCCTTTAAACATAACTCTTACATTTTAAGCCTGCAAAGGCCCCTGGGCAAATTATGTGGAATCTTGAATTCCAGACTAAAGAGTTTAGATTTAAGGAACTCTAGTTTTTTCTCTATTTCTTACCCTAAACAGGGAACATGAAAGGGCATTTAGCATTTTGATGTAAAACTATGCACATAAGTAAATATTGTCACACAAAAATAGATTTCAATGTTAGAATTGTCTTAGAACAATTGGGAAATTTAAATCAGGAACACATGGGTAGCCATCTTCAGTATGACATTAATCTCCTGAAATAGAAAAGATTGTGCTTTTTCAATCTATGGAAGTAAGCAGGCCTTCCTTTCCCTTCACTGCTGAATTCCCTGTAGTACCCATATACGTTTATATGATAAACTTACTGTATAATATCATAAGGTTGGTACAGCACATGTAAGAAATAAATATCTGCTGCTTGAAATGGTGGACCTTCATTTGCTTTGTGACTGTTAAAGCATGTGTTCCAATACCTCAGTGAAAGAAGACATGATTTTCCAAACCATATTTCCAAATGAGAAAGTAGGAAACGCTGAGGGTTTCCCCATGGCTCTTGCAGGTAACGGTGGCCAAAAGGCAGAAGGCAGCAGGCAGAGAATTTTTTTTCTGTATTAAATGTAAACTCTCTAGTATTACGAGAGTCAACGGCAGGATGTGTTCCACTTGCTGAAGTCATAACTAATCGTTCAGTGGCCTTCTAGGTGCCACCACAAAGTCCCACTTCTCAGGATCCCACGCCTGCACAGGAGGTTGTGATTTAGTAGGGAACTGCCTGGAGCCTACTGTGGAGAAGTCCGTGCTTTATGGGCTTACTGCTCTCTCGGGCTCCTACACAGCCTCCCTTCCAGGACTGGCTTATCTGCTTCCCATGATGACAAGTAGCTAGTCTGACAAACTGACTTGTGCTAATGTGGGAATGGTAGGGGGACAGCTGATTTTCCTCCTTCCAGGCAACATGCTCAACCTAGAAATGTAGCTTAAAGACTCAAGCATCACTCTACACCGCCCCTCCCCCCCCACCCCACCCCCGGCACACACACACATCAAGCAAACTATAATGCCTCTAAAACACGACTGTAAGAGCCTTAGAGGGCACAGTCCAGGCAAGCCAGGCTATTCTGGGCTGGGCTCCTGTTTCCCCAAAAAAGAGAGGTAGGGAGCTGTCTCCTCTCCATCTATATATTCCAGCACATAACAAAAGACTCCATTCTTCTTGTCAACGTGTTTAAACCAATTGCGCTAAGGTCCCCTTTCAATGGGAAAAACAGCTTACAGTCTGCTTAGGATGTTTTGCATGTGGGTGTTTGATAAGAGAAGCATACCGTCACGAATCCAAGAAAATAAATTTATTAAACTTTGAAGGAAAAAAATCCACAGACATAAAGAAAGTTAAATATAAACTGCAGGACACAACTAGTCATACTAGTGAATAATGGCTTGTGTGGCCAGCAAAGTACCAAAACGACATTCTGAGACTGATTGAGGTATTTAGCTATTTTTGGCTATAGAAATGTTGTCAGCCTATTGTGAAATAGTAACATAGTTTTCCCAAACACAGTTTTAAGTTGAATTAGGTTCTACATTGATGAAATTTTTATATGAAACTAAATTATGTAGCTATTAGAGAAAAACCATAGCAGCAAGGTAGCAGAAAAGCTATTAAACATCTATGACAAAGTAACATGTTGAACTTTAAACACCCAATTCTAGCTTTTCACTGTCCTTGCAAGAAAAAGGGAATTTAAAATTACCAACCACTAGGCTTGTTTCCTAAAAAGTTCTGAGCTAAATGGCAAATGCTTAAGTTAAAGCTAACTTTAAAGTTTTATTAACCTTTTAAAAAATACTTAAAATGAGAAGCATTCATTCTTCAGTGAGATAAGATTTTTCTCTTTTTGATAAACCTCGTGGGAAGCTATCACAATGCTCCTAATAATGATGTTAGGGTTATTAAGGGATTGAAAATTTTAGAAAGTTATAAATTACTCAGGCCCCTTCTTCTGACTACCTGCTTTGGGGCCAGTCCACTCAGAGGGGAAATAAAAAATGATGAAACATCTTCTTTTACTACTTTAAATAAATCCTATATAAGGTTTGGTGAGGAAGATAGTTTCCGCTGTTGGTTTAAGGAGATTTTGAGTTATCTGTGGGGATTTAAAATCTTGTTTCTTCTGTTTCTTGTTACCATAAATAATGAGTATGTGTCTGGCTATGGGCTGTGACACAAAAACCTATTTCTTGCACTTTTTATTCTGTTATTTGGTTAACTTCACTTCGACCTGCTTCAACATACAAAACGCTTCTTGTACCTCACTCCCTTCTTAGGTAACTAGGAAAAAAAACCAAGCTGTGTTTGAGGAGATCCTGTTGCAGAGTTTCTAGAGCTTTCCTCTCAGGATTTGCGTGCCCTAAAAAACTCAGACCCTGTGCAACTGCCACCCTTCAGCATCCCAGTCAGTATGAACCAGCCATAACTGCTACTTCTCTCAGTATGTAGTGCTCTTGCATGAACCAAAGTTTGGGTAAGAAAGGGTTTTTTGTTTGTTTTTGGTTCATGATAAGTTGACCTGTGCAAACCTTTTAAAGTTTTCTAAATTAACAAATATTTGTTTAAAAATTCAGGTAAGACGAGCATGTTCCAATAATGTAAGTAATGACAAACATTTTGGAAGTGTTTAAGTTTTGGGGAGGTATAAAAAGGGCCATGTAAGAAACTAATCTGTTTATTTGTTTTTCTTTAGGTATACTGACCAAAGCATGAAACCAGCTTTAGGCTGTAGTTGCTACATTCTTCAGATGGGTCTGCATGAACTACAGTATACCGTGTATAGTGTAATATAAAATAGCCATGCTTGAAGTGTAAATTATTAAAAATATCTTCATCGATTTTGTGTCAAAATAAATTTTACATATCCAAACTATTTTTGTCTTCTTATCTATAATTTTAGTTCCCAATTGTTTAAAAAAAATTAGCCTGTGCTATCATTTGCATTCGATTTTCCTGAACTGCAAAAGCCACCTGATATTTCGCTTTTTCAAAAAGCATGATTTACTATACATTACAAACACAGCCATTCAATGCTTAGCATCACAAAATTAACACCCACAATAACAAGACAATCACTGCCACTAGACAGTCTTTGAGACAATTCTTTAAAATATTTACAATTCACATCGTGAATATCTATCTGATTAAGCGCTCTTATTTTTTTTTTAATATCATGTTTCAACATTTCAGGAAAAGGCATTTAGAATCCACACCTCCCCATCCCCTGCCACAAAAGATTTAAACATTGTTTTGGTTTAAGCATTCATGCCCCAGTCAACTCTTTGCTATTAAATATTTAGCTCACGAGAAATCAAGGAAAGGCTACGGCATGATTTTGTTCAGTTGGTCTGTGCTCACATAGCCACACGATGAGAGAAACTCCTTATCAGGCAAGGGCAAGGCAGTCGCATTGAGTACGAGGCCCTGTGGAGATTGTACTATATGAATGGAGGTATAGTCTGGGACAGGCATCTCAGTGCTTCGGGCCTGTTCTGCGGTCCCAGACCTCCCAGCAGTAGTGGTAAGGCTTTCTGTGGTGATGTAAATGTCTTCCTGGTTAAGTCTTGGCTCTACACGTGATTCGACCTCGACGTGAGGGGCCACAGCGATGCACTTTTTGGCATCTGCCTCGCAGAAGTAGGAGTTGTCCATGATGACGTTTGCTTGGCAGAATGAGACCACTCCTGGATGCAAGTCACACTGGGGTATCCCTGCCTTATTCTTTTGGCCCGGGGAAAGGACCACGCTCCCTGCTGGTGTGATGTCGCTTACCTGGGCATAAAAGTCGATGTTTGCCAGTGAACTTGGATTACTTAGCTGAGTATGGGCAGCTTGATGGGTTGACTCAGTTCCACCAATGAGAAGTGGTCTTGGTTTGTTTTCCTCTGCTGGGATAACACCAGGCTCCTGAGTAGCAGGGGTAGCATCATTAGAAGGGGGATTGTTTTGAATCTTCATGTCAAGGCACAAGAGATCTGCTTCCCCTTTTAATCTTTGTGGCTGAGCAGCCTCTGAGGTACCATCACCCACATCACTGGCATTGAAATCAGTCTCCAGAATGTCAGGTTCATAACAGCTGGTACGCCCAGAGTCATCATCCTTTGCCCCAAGGATATTGAGTGATTTCTGATGGTCATTGCTTAGAAGTCTGTCTGTGTCTGATCCTTCAGTCTTTTCATCAGGGTCATCAATATCTAGCTCAATGAATTCAACCCAAGAGTCATCGTTGTAGAATTCAGGTTTATAGTTGTGAATAGCTAAGATTGTGTTCACCTCTTCCAATTTCCCTTCCTAGGAAACAAAGAAAATTAAAATTTATGAAAAGAAACTCATAATAAGTGATCTAACAAATAACATTTAGAGACTAATTATGGTCGCAATAAAAACAATAGCAATGGAACCATATAATAAAAAAATACATTAGTGAAGAGTTTTTAAACATATAAGACAGTCTCATAATGTTGAGATGTAATATTTTAAAAAATTTTTCTCCAGAAAGAGTACAAAAAATGGAGTGTGTTCCATATAGCTTGCAAAAGCTCTCAACACAAGACAGTGCCCTTCAGGTATCATTTAATTAGTGTTCTTATAACTTAGATAATTCATTAATTACCTTGAATAGATCCGGATCAATTCCTTTAATCTTTGGAACTGGGACTGGGGGTAGAATCAGCATCTTAATCCTTGAAAACAAATAAACTTTTGGTTTGACATTTCTTTTTATTTTTAATTAAAGTTTATTGGGGTGACAATTGTTAATAAAGTTACACAGGTTTCAAGTGTACAATTCTGTAATACATCATCTATATATCACATTGTGTGTTCACCATCCAGAGTCAGTTCTCCTTCCAGCACCATGTATTTGATCCCTTTTACCTTCATCTACCCTCTGGTAACCACTAAACTATTGTCTGTGTCTATGAGTTTTTGTTTCTTCATTTGTTTGTGGTTTGACATTTCTTAAAAGTTGCACATTCTCTTATTTCAAAAGATAGAAATAAAATATTGGCAGTACTATTACTTATTCCCAATATTCTGGTAATTTCTAAGTGGAATATGGGAAAGAGAAGGAAAATATTAAGTAGTAAGTGAAAAGGAAAAAACTATAGAAGAAAAAAAGTGAACAAAAACAACAAAAAAGCCCTCATCTGAAGTCAATTTAAATAAAATGTGGTTTTCCTATAATCTTTTTTTTTTTAATGTCTTTTATTGACAGCCAGCTTTAGTATTTAGGAGTGAGAAATTTAATTCGATCTGAACCAGTTTCAATTTCAGTTACAAGAAAGGTAATTTTAATGCACATCTTATTACTAATTTGCAGAGATGAAGGAAGGAAGGAAGGGCCAATCTACATGAAGCCAATTAGGGTAGACTAGATAAGTTTGCACCACACAGATCACATTAATTATGAAAGTATATAAGATGATCTCGTTAACCTTAGTGTCATTGCAGGGTTCATTTCAGTTGGGACAGGCTAAATTTGAATTATCTCTAATCAGTATGGGTTTATATACACAATTCTAAGATGCACTCAAATTTTCTGTTCCAAATATTTCAATTATTTTCTGACTATAATTCATTTCAATGTCTATCCTGACTGTTTTGACTATAATTCATTTCAATGTCTATCCTGACTGTTTTGAGCCTTGTTGTATCACCAGCACTTAGAGAACAATTCCTGGCACATAGAAGGTGCTCAGTAAACATTTCTTGAATAAATTTGAATAAATCATTTACCTATTTTTTAAACAGTGTAACTAGAGTTCTTTTATTTACTGAGTTAAATATTTTTTTAATTTAAGTATAGTTTGCATACAATATTATATTGGTTATATTAGTTTCAGGCGTACAATATAGTTATTAGACATTTTTATACCTTACGATGTGAACATGCCACTAATTCTAGTAATCATCTGTCACCTCGCAAACTTATCACAATATTATTGACTATATTCCCCTTCCCATTTTCACCCATCCCTCCAAACCATTCTGGTAACCATACCTTTGGTCTCTGTTTCTGACTCTGTTTTTGTTTTGTTTGTTCATTTGTTTTGTTTTTGGTTTTTTTTAGATTCCACATATAAATGAAATCATACAGTATTTGTCTTTCTCTGCCTAGCTTATTTCACTTAGCAGAAGACCCATGCTGTTACAAATGGCAAGATTTCATTTTTTATTGCTGTGTAGTATTTGAGAGAGAGAGAGAGAGGTACAGAGAGAGAGTACGTGTGTTTGTATGCGTGTCCCACATCTTCTTTATCCATTCATTTACTGATGGACACCTAGGATGCTTTCATATCTTGGCTATTGTAAATAATGCTGCAATGAACAGAGGGGTGCATATATCTTCTCAAATTAGTGTTCTTGTTTTCTTTGGATAAATACCCAGGAAGTGGAGTTGCTGGGTCATATGGTAGCTCTATTTTTAGTTTTTTGAGGAACCTCTATACTGTTTTCCATAGGGGAAGCACCAATTTGCAGTCCCACCAAGAGTGCACACAGGTTCCCCTTTTTCCACATCCTCGCCTACAGGTTTTTATTGACCTTTTGATAATAGCCATTCTGACTTGTGTGAAGTGGTGTCTCACTGTGGTTTTCATTTGCATTTTCCTGATGATTAGTGACTGTGAGCATCTTTTCATATGTCTTTTTCCATCTGCATGTCTTCTTTGGAGAAATGTCTTTTCATGTTCTCTGCCCATTTTTGATGAGATTGTTTATTTTTTGTTATTGAGTTATATGAGTTTCTTAAGTATTTTGGATAGCATTTCTAGAGTTTGTTTTAAAATCAACATTGTAGCTCCAGAAAAAAAAGCTCAGAGATTATAAGTCCAACCAACTCATTTTACTGTTAATAGAAAAAAAACTCTAAGTGTCAGAGATGCCATTATTGGGCAAGGATGGTCACCTGATTTTTGGATATTGGCTGATATTCTACTCAATGTGAATGGACAGTCTAGTCTAGTCTATTCAATAGGGAACCCATCTTCTAAATATTTCCATTGCCTTTTTACCTAAACCAAAGTATAAGCCAAATTCCATTTTATAAGTTGCTTTGAGTAGCCTCCATTAGGTTTACTCAATGGGACAAGTAGTAAGACAAATTGTTACTTATGAATACAAGATACAGGAAAAATATAAATTATTAATTATAAGTACGACTTTTTGAATATCTCTGATAGACCAGGCACTGAGATATATTTTGCACTAAACTGTGGTTCAGCCAATTATGGCCAATGGGCCAAACTTGGTCTGCCATCTGTTTTTGTAAATAAAGTTTTATTGGAATAAAGTCATATTCATTACTTTACATATTTTCATGGCTGCTTTCATGTCATGGTGGCATAGTTGAGTGGTTATGACAGAGATTGTATGACCCAGAGAAAGCCTAAAAATGTAGTGTTTGGCCCTTTCTAAAACAAGTTTGTCAGCCTCTGCACTAAACAGTTCATGAGGCCCTTATAACTACCAAGGAGGCAGGTGATATTATCTGTGGAAAGATTCAGAGCTTTAAGGAACATGTCCAAATCATGCATTAATTCTTGGCATAGCTGGGGCTCCAATCCAAAGCACCTGACTCCAAAACCTCAGTCCTTGCTTTCTGCCATGCTGCTCTTATTTGGCTCTGAATCTTTAAATGAATATTTTAAATGTTAAAAACATGCAAAAATGTAACATAACCCTATTATAGGAAGCAAAGATCTCCAAATGTCTAGTGCCTGACTTTTATGTATGCCTCTCTTCTTTGAAGGCGATGACACATTTAGGCACATGTTGGTAGTCAACTTTCTAGGAGTTGCAGTTGACCTTCTGCCAGGGTGGCCAGTCTTGTGCCCTGTAGGGCCCAAGCAGGTCATACAAATGAATGAAGCAAGGCAACTGCATTGTCATAGGAAGGGATGGAGAGGGTAACAAACTAGAGCATATATGCCCTTCCCAAATGAGACAGCTGGCCTTGTGCTTCAGCGTATGTATGTTGCCATGCAGGAATATCAACCCAGTTTCATTAGAACTTTCAGGTTTTAAAGACAATCTGGAAACCTGAATTTTTGTGTAAAAATTCCCTACACTTTATAGCAAAATCTTTAGTTCAAAATCCAGATATAACATACAATAACAAAACAGAGATCGGCAAGCTGAATTTGGCTTTAGCTTGTCAGTTTGCACTTGTGTTTTATGTTGATTCAGTTATTATTATTTTTTCTGATTAGTAATAGCTTGAAGGCTGGGGGTGTGTCATATGGTGGGAATAACAGAGTACAGAATAAAGATAACCTGGCACGAAACTGGGTTTGCGACTTTGCTATCATTTCATTCAAATCCAAATTACATTATGAATTTTGTTACAGTTGACTCAATTATCTGAATTAAGAAAAGGAGAAGTGGGGCCGGCCACGTAACTCAGTTGGTTAAGAGCATGAGCTCTGAGCAACAGGGTTGCCGGTTCGATTCCCACATGGGCCAGTGAGCTGCGCCCAAGCTGAGCTGCCACCAGGTGGCAGGATGGCTCAGCTGGTGAGAGCACTTGCTTCTAACAACAAGTTTCCAGTTCAACTCCCGCATGGGATGGTGGGCTATGCCCACCCACAACTAAGGTTGAACACAGCACCTTGAGCTGAGCAGCTGCACTGCCGACAGGTGGCCGGATGGTGACTGGACTTGGGACTGAGCTAGCTGTGCCCTCCACAACTAAGACTGAAGGACAACAACTTGGCTGTTCCCCTCCCCAAATTCCCCAATAAAATCTTAAAAAAAAAATAAAGAAAGGGAAAAGTGGCTTAGATTGTGGATTCTCAAAACTTCAACCAAAGACATGGAGGATGTGGAGCTTTTTACAGCCCTAAGGTTATGGGGAAGACTGACATAGCACCTCCATCTTTGGAGTATTATTTTAATTGTTAGAACTACATGTTCTTTCCACACCTGCTGACAACTATTTTATACCATTTTCCATTTCATTAAAACATGAAAATTTAGAAAATGATAAGGATTTAGTGGCTAAATTAAAAAAAAATTTTCTACAGAGAACTTTAATTTAGCACAGGAAATTTGGAAGCACAAAAAAGATTTCAAAAGAATTTTACAATTTGGTGATTTTGACCAAGCTTTATAGTTAAGAACTTCATTATTCATAGAAAATACTCTTTTAGACAAAGGTTAATATGTTTTCTTTGAAATCCTATTTGTTGAGAGGATACTTTTTCTCTGAAATATTGTTAGTTAGTGTAATTTAACTACATAACAAATTTACTTGACCTCCACAATGACCTGAAATTGACAGCTAATGTTAAGAGTAAATTACTTCATATGCATAGTGGTTTTATCTATTGCAGTTACAAATAAATCAGCTCTTCATCTATACAGACCAATGAATTCAAATTAACCAACAGAATAATTTGGCTCCTTTGTTGTTGACATTACTTAAATATATAAATTACTTAATTTTCTAAAAATTTATTAACTTATTTACTAATTTTTCTTAAACAACTGAAAACTGGGTTGTCCTGCTTTACAATAGTTGTGTTTGTAAAAGAGAAATGTTGCTAGAAAGTTAGGTGCAAAATGAAATTCTAAGGAGTGAATTTTGCTTTCCCATTGGTTGACATTATGAACTGGAGGTGACACTTTACTAAAAATAACCCTTTTTGCATTCACTTGGAGACTTTTAGCATGTTTGACACTCTAGAACTCCAGTATTCTCAGAATTTTTTTTTCTATTACAATCCTGACTTAATGTTGACAAATGCTATCGGGCTTCAAAATATAAATTAAGGAGCCTGCCAAGTGGCTCATTGGTTAAGAGTTGGCTTGGGAGTGCGAGCTCTGAGCAGCAGGGCCGCTGGTTTGGATCCCACATGGGCCAGTGACGCTGTGCCCTCTACAGCTAAGATGGTGACCAACAGCTCAACCTGGAGCTGGGCTGCTGTGAGTCGCCGGTGACGGCGTAGGCTGCAGCCCTTGTGGCAGTGAGTTGCCATGGGCTACCGTGTGTAGCCAGCAGCCAGTGTGAGCGGCCAGCAGCCGCAGTGAGCGGCCGTCCAGAAGCCGGCGACTGATCTGCCTCACCCAGGAAGAGCGCAATGATGGTGCTAACTTGGGCCAGTGAAGCAGCGTCCTCACAACTAAACTGAAGAACAAAAGGACAGCAACTTGTCTGTTCACCTTCCCCGATTCCCCAATAAAGTCTTTAAAAATAAATAAATTAATTAATTAAAAAGCTCTTACAGTATATTCACATAGATCCTACTTTGATTTGTAGATGTTTCTTGGCTTCAGCTGGAGAACTTGTCTTCCATTTTAGGTGAGGTAACCAATCATTTTGGTTTGCCTGGAACTGAGGGATTTGCCAGGACAAGAACTTCTAGTGCTAAAACCAGGAAAGTCCCAGGCAAACTGGGAGTGTTGGTGATGCTAGTTCTAGGTGAAGGGGCAAGATTAACTCATGGGACTTTAAAAATACTCTAAATGTAAGAAAACTGGCAATCAGTATCATTAATTTTTTTCTATATTTTGTATTAAAATTTCTTGTAGTCTGTACTGAGTTTCTTTCAGGAAGAAAAACAGAATGATAGATCTTATAACTCAAAGGAAATTTAAAGGTCACATATTTTCTAATACCCTCATAAAACCCATGAGCACATGGAGGCCTAGAGAAGTTAAGAGACTCAAACAAGATCAAACATAGTGGCAGAATAATACCTGGAACCCAAGTCTTTTGACTCCAAGAGAATGCAGAAAGGAATCTCTTCAAACAGAATTTTAGCTGTGTTGACAAATGCAAGTGAAATCATAAGTATCCACATAATGGAAACAAAATTGGAACTCACCTGAAATTGCCATCATATGAAGTCTAAAAAGTTTTTGTCAGATTGATTTATCTAGGTGGCTTTAGTTTGCCACCTAAATTTTTTTGTACATTAGTACTGTGTCAAATTCAGCCAAAGGTGTAGTGCTACCTTATGGTCCTGAACGAATGGGTCAACTTATTCGGGACTTTGGAGAGGTGGAAAGGCAGCTCTGAGAAAACTGTTTTGTTAAGGAGACACGTATGACAAGGTGGCAGTCACTGGCCTCAGCCTCTTAATGTCCTATACAACTTCCCCGATAGAACTAAAACCTGCAAATTCTCTTTGACGAACACAACAAAGTGGTAAATGTATAACAGGAGATATTGTTTTCCTGGGTTAAAATTTTCACTCATGATTCGCAAAAGAAAAATATCAAATAACAAATGGAAACACATAAGAAATTGGCAAAAACATCAAGGTAGACTATTTCACACCTACCTTTGCTGTTTAGAAAATATGAATAAAAATAATATCACCATTAGTCCAAATATTCCAAAGATAATAATCAAGAACCATGGAAACTGGAAATCTGAAATACATGAGAACAATAACTCACTCTTAGGATTATGAATAGTTGAAATTTACATTTCACTTCCCGTTTTCATACAAAAACACTTCCTAATTTGTACTCTTCTAGTAAAGTCAGTGATGTCTCTTGATAACCACTGAAACAGAATGCAATGCTTTAGAAGTTGTTTCTGTTCAAAAATGACTTCTTCAAATCCTTTCACATTAAAAATTCGAGAGTAAGATACAGCATACATTTGAAGCACAATCCACATTTATAAAAAACAACTGCTGGAAAGCATCTTATGTGTTCATGGTGTGTCATTAAAGGCGTCAGCTCTAGGAAAAAGTGCTGCTGGTTAACACACTACTTGACCTAAACATTGTCTACTTGGTTCCTTTTTCTTTTCAAGGTGTGCGATATTTTTTTATCCTCCAGATTTAGGATCTATCAAAACGATGGGGACAGAGTTTTTATTTTTGAATCATGACTGAAACTTTTCAGACATGCAGAGCACATTATTTTACAGCTACAAAAAATTCCTTTGACAGAAGATCACCATGAGGGCTCCCACTTTCAGATTTTAGTATACTTTGTAGCAGATTTGTGGGAATCTGTTTGTAAAACTTCTTTTTTATTCCTTAAAAACAAATGCTTACCAGCTGCCTTGCAGCTGGTTCCCAGTATTCCTACCACATTGGCAGAGGTTAACTGCTTTTTTATTTAAGAAAAGAGGTGGAATTAGCCTTAACATTGTTTTATGAAAAGTAGGATTTTAGACTGTAATATTATTTCCTTGTTTTAATTTTCTTGTTCATTTATTCAAATCACCAAGGGAGATACTAATGGGCATTTAAAGAATTAGTGGGGGCGAGAATACCATTTGTATCTTGTGGTACTTATAATTTTAGATCAGTGACATATTCAGGAACACAACACAAAGCTAGTGCTTCATCATCATCTTCTTTTTTCTTTAACAAGGAAGGAAAAGCCAATTCAAAAAAATTTATGTTAAATGAATTAAATGCCATCACAATAAGCTTGAAGAGTATGTGGCAAGTGTACTTTTTAAACCAGAATTTCATTACATCAAATTGTCTGAAACAACAACCCTGTTAAGTAGAGCTTAGAAAAAAATGGAATTATAGACATTTTCATTGAAGAGTTACTGTATTTCCCCATCTATAAGGGGCACACTTTTTCAAAAAATTTGGGGTCTAAAAACTGGGTGCATCGTAAAAAATTCTACAACAATGAGCGCAAAAAAGTGGGAAATGCAAGTAAAAAAACTCTACAACCACTGTATAAGACGCACCCAGTTTTTAGACCCCAAATTTTTTGAAAAAGGGTGTGTCTTATACATGTGGAAATATGGTATTTAGTATCATGAATTCTACCTGTACCATCAATGCAAAAACATGAATTTCATTACTCTGTAGATTGTGATTGTTTCATTAACAAACCTCAGCTCCTCATATGGCCCTGTAAACTTCTGTCTTTCATGGAGATGAGCTATAGCCAATTCTCATTTGAGAGTGATAATAGTTTATATACTTAATATTCATTATTAAGCAGTATTCTTTATTTTTGTATCCAAAAATTTTAATTCTTTTATTCTGAATTCATAGTTTTAATTTCTTCAAAATTTAATTATGTTCACATTTCTCTTATATAGGATCTTCAAATGTTCCATGTCATTCTTGAGCATAACTGGCACACTACTTATTAAGCCTTCTCCAGGTAAAAGCCACCTCAACTTTGTAAAGCCAATCAGCGTCTGCCTCTGACTTTACATGCTGACTCAATATTAGGCTTTCTCTTAGATGCCTCATATTACATCCATCTTTATAGATACAGAATTGCTTCATTATGTACTTGAAAAACATTTTTTTCTGATTACAAATGCAAATAACTCATTGCAGAAAATTTTAGAATTATGCAAACATATAAAGAAAGAATCACATGAAATTCTGATATCTACAGATAACACCCATGAATATCTTCCCCTGTCTAACTGGCACCCACCCCAGGACTTTTCCTGAATTAAATAATTCAAAAACTAAATCCTTCTCCTTCTTTTTCATGGATAATACCTGTTATAAAGAGGTCTCTCACCCTGACATTTGATGCTAATATATGTTGATCTTGATAACACCCTAATGGGAATGTATCACTGTATATTGATGAAAGTCATGTTGGTTGCCATTTTAATCTTTTATTTTTACCTTCTTCACATGCCAGTGGGCTCATCTGAGGAAGTGTTACATAGAGCACCTCACTGAAGTCGCCATATTTTTCAGAGTTTCGTTGTCTGGATCTCATGCGCACTTCATACTCTTTATCTAGTCTCAATGAGTACACTGGAACTGATGTTGACGATACGGGGTCCATCTTTTAAGACAAAATATAAAACATATTGGTTAGAGAGTCAACAACTCAATGCAATAAACTGTACAAGGTGTTTCTGCATTTGTATTCAAAATGGATTTCTGTAAAGTAGGTAATATTTAATGAACTGGCGGGGGGGGGGATGTTTGTTATTTAAGGAAAGCAAGATCAAGGCAAATAACTTTACAAAGAATCATTTGTTAAATGGATAATAGGCCTCAAATTTATATTGATATAAACCCAAAGATATAATAGACTTTTATAGAAATGCAGTGATATCTTTGACTTAGGCTGTCAAATATTCTAAGAGCAAAGCATAATAAAATTATTATGGAAAATGACAGAACGATAAAGAAGACTATAGATATGTCACCTACCCTTTGGGATATTACAATTTTGTAGGAAGACATAGGAACAGAAAAAACAAACATTTTCACACCAAAACAAATCATAGTCATTCTTTGGAAAGTCTGGGTAGTCTTTCATAAAATCATAGTTGTATTCATTGAACTTCCAAATAATTCTATTAGAAGCAACTACTTACCTAATCTGCTTGTTCTAGAAGGCTTAAAGCCACCTCAAAATATTGGGTTGTTGGAAAAGTCATGAAGCAATTTTGCAATGAAAAACATAGAAAAAATATATCATGACTTTTCCGACAATCCAATAGTTTGCTATTGAAAATCTGCAAAGAAAAGTCACAGGAGTCTTTGGTTAATTAACATCAGGGTCCCATAATCCTTAAGGTCAGGATATTCTTTTACCTTCCTGGGGAAGGGTAGGTGAGGCTACTAGACCTTTAAAACATGTTGCTATCAAAGAAGTAGACCCAATTAATGGTAGTGTTTTCCTCTAAGTCAAATATTCAAAGCAGGTATTCAATATGTGTTTTTCATGTGGTTTCTGGTAGAATACCTTTGCTCCTGTTTATAAAAAAGGTGAAAACTCAGTTTTCAACAGCATCGATTTTTCACATAAATATGATTCTCATTTGTTTTACTATGTCAGAAGCTAGACCTTCAGTGTCTAAAACACATTTTCCTTTCACCTCAGCTAATTTTAATTCACAAAGTATTTCTTTTTTTGCCTATGTGTACATGAGATGGTAATTTTGCATCTTTTAAAGAAGGTTATTCTTAATATATGGAATATTTGCATGCCTAAAATGCTTTTCTAGAGGTAGGATTCTGAATATTAAATTTATTATTTTCCTTAAAATATTTCAAGTCTGTGCTTTTATTCTTGAAGCCCTAATTTCTCTGTCATTGTCACCAATGATATTTCTTTACAGATTTTGCTAATAAGAAAACCAGAGAGGGGCTCTTGGTGATTTAACCTATGGTCCCCTCTCCAACTTCCCACAACCCTCCACGCCAGCCATACCACACTCAGATCTGCTTATATGGTTCCTGCTGCGACACTGAACTCTGCCACCTGCCTGTGAGGGAACACGTTCTTGGTGAAAGTATAGTTGAACTTCTAGGACTTTCCTGGCACTTTTCCTTACTCTGTCTTGTTAGATAATACACATCCTATATTCCTCTTATATTTTACTGCCCAGATTTCTCTATTAGACTGCAAATTCTTAGGGGGCAAACAGTGCCTTCATTACCTTTGCATTCTCCAAAGCCCAGCACAATACCAGGTCTACAGCAGGTGCTCAAGAGATACCCCATACATTGTGGATAATTCTATGCCACCACTCATAAAGTCTTTAAAACACCATAAATTCTTAAGTTGGTTTAGCAGGTAAATAGTTGTAAGCAACTACATGGTCATCAGTATCACTTTTATATTCAAAATGTAAATAATTTAAAAAAAGACACAATAATACCAAATTCAATATTGCCAAATGGTAACGTGAATTTCTGATGCAAGCAACAGATACTTGCTTTCTCCCCCTCTATTTCTTTTTATGCTTATGACACTTGTGCTCATAAACAATTAGGTTGTGAATTTCTTCCAGAGAGAAGTCAATTCTTATGGATAGGCCCTTGATATACATGACAATTCTGTCTGCTTATAAATACCACGAATATATGGCTTCGCTCATAAAAAGTAAGTAAACAATAACTGATCCCTTTGGATGATCTAATGTGATTTTTTTTCAGCAGGGTACAATGAAAAGTGCCACAAAGCCATATTGGGAGACAACCCTGAACAGTCCGTTGACTGAGCCCCACACTCCCTAGCACCTGGCTCAGGGTAAATTTCTTATCTGTGCCTCGGCTGAGACATAACTACATGCCAGAGACATTTAGGCTTGAAACTATGATCAATAAATGTATGAATGCTAACATTCTGATTTACATCTTTGCTTCTTCTAGGTTGTCAAACGTTTTTGTTTCAGGACTCCTTTACACTCTTCAAAATTATTGAGTGTCCTACAGATTTGGTTTATTTGGGTTATAACTATCACTTTACCATGTTAGAAATTGAAACTGAGAAATTTAAAAATGCTAATTTTAAGAATAAAATAATAAGTTGATTTTATGGTTAACATGTTTTATAGAAATTATTTTATTTTTCAAAATAATACAATTATAGTGAGAAGACTGACATTGTTTTACATTTTTGCAAATCTCTTTAATATCTGGCTTAGTAGAAGATGGCTATATTTTTATATCTGCTTGTGAATTAAATCTGTTAGGATGTGTTGTTTTGGTTGAAGTGCATGAATAAAATCTGGTCTCACACAGATGCGAGATGTAATCAAAACATACAATGAATGTTTAAAAAAATTATTACAGTAAAAGACACATTGCCATTAGTTCCCCTCAAAATACTCCCCCATGCTTCAAACACACTTATCCCATCACTCTTGCCACTTTCTGAAGCAGTTCTGGAAGTCCTCTTTTGTAAGTGTCTTTAGTTGCGCTGATGTGGCTGCCTCGATGTCCTGAATCGATTCAAGACGTTTACCTTTCATGGTGCCAGAACCAGTGAATAAGGTGGATGAGGACACACCGTAATGTTTTAATCTGACAGAAATTGCTGTACCAGAAGCAATGTGTGACATGGAGCCTTTCTGTTGTGATCACAAAATACGGTGAATGATGCTACTGAGGGCCATCCAATGGAAAGGCAGGGATCTTCAATATGGAAAGCCGTGCATCGAACCTTAGTAACAGTGTGTGACAAGTTTCAACTTGCTTGGTGCTATCAGTCAGGTGTGAGCTACAGTTGAGAGAAGTTGTGTTTTTAAAGTGTGCTGTAAATCATCCTCCATCATGACAATGCTCCATGTCACACATTGCTTCTGGTATGTGGCAATTTCTGTCAAATAAAAACATTACGGTGTGTCCTCATCTACCGTATTCACCGATTCTGACACCGTGTGGCATGTGGCTCTTCCCCAAAGTCAAAATGATTCAGGACATTGAGGCAGCCACAACAGCACAACTAAATGCACTCACGAAAGAGGACTTCCAGAACTGCTTCAGAAAGTGGCAAGAATGATGGGATAAGTGTGTTCGAAGTGACAGGGAGTATTTTGAGGGGGATTAATGGCAATGTGTCTTTTATGTAATAAATTTTAAAAATTGCAACATCCACCATATTGTTTGATCATAGTTAATATGTAGTGAGGAAAAGGAGGATATTCTAGTAGCTTTTTTAGATAATTGTGGGTATTCCTCTTTAACACTAACACCCAAACTCAATAAGCGGTATTTTCTTAAAGGTCAGTTGCCATGTGTAATCTGAAACTGTGTCAATGAATCTTCTGTACTGTTACATTAAAATTTACCATTCCATTTAGTACTTTGAATGGATCATGTCCCCATGCATGATTTTGGGTACATCATGTGTTAGTCATCTGGAAAATATTGGTTCACTGAGTTATGCAGATTTTCTAAATGTATGCACATTTTACTATGTAATATTAAAAAAATCCCTTGTGCTAATAGTATCACCATTGATCTCATCAGGAAAATCTTCAATGATTGAGAAGCTATCAAGCTTATGGTTGCATAGAAAGTTTTCCAAAATTCTAATTTTCCCTTGAAAGCTAAATTTTTTCATTGGCGATAAATACTGTCAAGTTTTTTTTTTGAAGTGATAAGTTCACTTCATTCTTTTTCAAGAAATGTATGCCAAATATTTGCCATCCCAAACATAAATAACTACTTATATTTGTTTATCAGTTGTTCTTGCAAGTAACAATGGTGTCCCAAATGGTGTTCCAGGCAAAAAGCAGCTAGCTCAGCTGGCATCTCAGCTATTTGACTGTCTTTTCTCAAGACAACCATCAGTACCTTGGTATGCAGAAGTGCTTTGTGTGTACTTCTTAAGTGTCACATGGAATATTAAAGAGCTAGGTACTCCAAGGTCGAGATTTAATAAAATTAATAATTTTTACAGCTTCATGAATGGCAGTCTTATGTGAAACTGGCTCCCTCCTTTCCCCTTCTTCCTGCAAGTGCTTGGTGATGAAGAATAGAGTGACTATCAGTACAATTCGTAGTACTGCCTTGATTTGTGCTAAAGCAGTAATAGCTTTCCCATCATTGCTTTTGTACCATCAGTGCAAATCTCAACACAGGGAAAAAAGGAACTATTTTAGTATTATTGTGGAAATTGTCTTGACCTTGTGGACTCCCTAAAAGGGTCTCAGGAATCCTCAGGGGTCCACGGTTCACACTTTGAGAACTGCTGCCTTGGGGTACCTAGCATAGTGCCATGTGCACAGTAGTTATTTCAATACCTTGTTGTTGAATAAATGTTGGACTCTGGTCTTGAATTTAAAAAGTCATGTTTGACTCAGCATCCAACCAGGCTTTTTTTGCACCAAGTTACAGGACAGATATCTAAATTAAAGTGATGCTGAAAACAGAACCTCAAAGCCCAACATTTAACTGTTCAAAGCTGCTCCAAATTTAGCTTTCTTTTAATGTCAAAATCAGCTTGTTTTTTCAGCAGTTCACTGAATGGACAGGGCCTGGTGTCTCAAAATTCTGGCTGTGCCAGGCTGCTGGGCATGACCTCATGACCAGCCAGAAACCACTTGGTTTGGCCAGGGCTGTGGCTGTGGTCAGACTGATTTAGAATTAGTTATATTGGGAGCAGCATGATAATCCTGTTTTTGTTCTTGTTGTGTGCCATGTGGAATTTATCTAAGTGCCTAGTTCCCACACACTTGGCAAGGAAATGAGGAGTTCAGAGGTCAACCAGTGTCACGCTACTTGCCTACATAAAAACCTCTTAGCTTGATTCTCCCCTAAGGTACTTAACGAAACATCCTTTTGAAACCTCTAAGGTTAAATGCCATCCCTCTGATCCCCTCCTGGATTCACTTAAGAACTTATTTTAATAGAGGTCTTGTAAGTAGTAGCAACTAAAGTCATGGGAGAATATTTAGCCAACGCTCACTGTTGACCTTGATCATAACCTTCCCATGTTTAGCCACATTCCCAAATAAGTGGCTGAAGTATACAGTTTTGTTCTAAAGTCAAACTGAACACCCGGAGTGACTGGGGAAATAGTTTTCCTTTCCTTCCACAGGCTTCCATCTAAGCTCCATGTAAGCATCTGCTGTTGGACAGAATTCCAAGATGATATTTTACTGATTACACTGGTTTACCTCAAATAAGAAATTATGGAGCATATAGCATGTGCATGTGATATTAGGTCAAAAGAAAGTCTAATTATAAATGAGATGGGGCTGTTGAAATTAAACAGAGGAAATGGAAAAGATTTTTAAGTGTGAGAGGTAATGATACCTTACCATTCTCCACTGGGTCTCGTTTATTTCTTTGTACTGCAGCTCATACTCCAGGGCTATCCATCCCTTCTGAACATCTGCATTGGGCGGTGGTTCCCATCTCACTTGGATGTCCGCATGAATCCCCGTTAAACTGATATTCAGTAAAGTCCAGTTGAGGCCAACGGGTGGATCTGGTTGTACTGTGCATTTCAGTGGAGAGTTAGTGCACAGAGAGACACAGTTGGGTATTAATGGAATGCTTTCTTTTGAAGAGACCAAATTACTTTATACATTTGTATTATTCATACTCTTAATTCTTCTAATATACCTATTAGCATATTCTCACTTCCGGAGAGTATCATGTTTTGCTTAAGGATGATCTGCTTTTAACTCTTAAAAAAGCCCATACACAAAGCTCCTTTTCGAGTCTAAAATCTGATCTATAAGTTTTCTTAAAGACCTGCCATGTTTTACATTTCTTTTAACTCTGATAGAATTAACGCTTTGGGATTTGGGTAAAGAAATTCATTTTAACTCAAAACTAAAGGAACTGAGTCAGAAAGACCTACAGTATTTAAACATGTGGTTGTTTTGGAACTAGGGGTAGAGAAATCTTTTTTTTCTTCCAAAATGTTTATGACTTGGGGCAAGGCCCTTGCTTTGTTCATTTCTGTATTGCTACTAGTACAATCCTTCCTAACACTCAGCAAATGCTCCTTCATTTGTCGTCTTCTGGACACACATGATCATTTCTTCAGGCCTAAGAGGAAGGCACTACACTGCTCTTTCAAATGGTGATGATTCAGTGTTTTCTGTCTTGCACTTGGCTGCACATGAATAATCTGAAATAGTGTTCTGCTTGGTTTCTACAACATACTGTACAATCTCAGGTAGATCCGTTGCATTCTGCCTATTAGGACCACAAAGACCACAATTTCCCAAAGGCTGATGAAGAGAAATATGGACTCCAAAGCTAGGAACTTTATCTAAATTTATATTCTAGATAGTTCCCAGTAAATTACTGCTAGTTAGGTCTTAGTATGGGGGTTTCCAAAAATCACTTGCAGATACAGAGTAAAATTTACTTTCTTTTCTACTACATGCAGAAGGCCACCTAGAGTGTCTTCAAGTCTGGGTCCCCAGGGTTGATCAGAGATAATATACGCTGTGAGGACTCTTACTGCCTGTTAAAACCTGGTGGCCGAAGAGGGTAGCTCTTGTATTCAACCAGAGTGTAAACAATTGCTGCAAAAGAACATGCTATTGGCCACTGTGGAGTGGACACCACTTAAAAAAAAAAGTCCAAATTTGACTAATCATGACTACATTTTAGAAATTAAATTGGAAGGATTTGCAAAATAGCTAAGCTACATATGCCACATATTGACAGTAATACCCCTCTTTTCTGGATTTGTTAGGGACAGGTGAATTCTTTTTTTTATTTATTTATTTATTTTTATTTTTTTATTGTTAGTTTCAGGTGTACAGAACAATGCAATCGTTACCATTTTCACCCTCACAAAGTAACAACCCCCCTCCCCCCATCCACTGCCCTCCCACCCCCGATATCGTGCTTATCTATTACAATTCCATTGAATCATTTCCCCGCACTCTACTCCATGAGGGACAGGTGAATTCTGATAACTGAAGCTTAACCCTTTAGGTGACTGAACTATAAAAATGTTTTGCTGGAAACATTTTCTAAAACATATTACTCATGTTGCATCTTAAAAATCTCCCCACTTTAAATAGATGAACAGGCTCCTTTTGAGGAAGGCTCAGTGTCACCGTTTTAAGCATAGGACTCTCCCTCACCTCTACACATACCTCCATGTGGCACACTTGACAATGCCTCTGAGATGTTTAAAAAGCATCTGAGACAGAATACATTTCCAAACGAGCCTAGTCTTTGCCCCAGAATTTGCCCCTCTTTCACCTTCCCTCTCTCTTCATCCTTCCAGTTGCGCAGGATAAAAACGAACCCTTCCTTGACTCATCTTTTTCTCGCCACCCTACATTCTGCCTGTTATACTTTCAAGGCATTCCCAGAACCCCACCACTTCTCACCACCTGCACCTCTATAACCTGGTCCTAGCTATAATTTTCTGTCCATCTTGTACATTCACCTCCTAAATGGTCTCCTCTTGAGGTCTTTGTCCCCCGTCAGTCTATTCTCAGTACAATCCTCAATACGGTTGGCACAGTGAGTATCTTCACACTTAAGTTAGATCATATCACTCAGCATTTAAAACCCTCCAAAGGCTTCTTATCTCACTCCAAGTGAGAGCCAAAGTCATTACACCAGCTGAAAGGCTAGATCTCTGGATCTAGCCTCATCGTCTCCTCCTTGCTCACGCTGTGCCAGCTCCTTCTCTCTGAGCTGGTCCTCGAGGGAGGAAAGGCATGCTCCCACCTCAGGATCTTTTACCCTTGTGGTGCCCTCTTGCTGGAATGCTCTTCCCTAAGATACACACATGACTGTCCTCTCATTTCCTTCTTTACGCAAGTGTCATGGTCTCTGTGAAAGCAATAGCTTTCGTTGTTGAAAAAAAGCAACATCTCTGGTGCTTCTGTTCTCCTTCCCTATGTCATTTTTGTTCATAGAATTGTCCCTTTCCACCCTGACTGGGATAAAATCCCACCAGAGCAGACATTTTCTGTCCCTAGCACCTAGAACATGCCTGGTCCAAGGAAGAGACCCAATAAATATTTGCTGAATAAACTGACTAAATGACAAATGTCTAACGAATATATTACTTTAAATCTAAAGAACAGCCCTGTGAGGTTGTAGTAGAATACATACGTAACACACGAGGGCATTGAGGCTTGTGATGGACAACGTAAGATCCTTTAGGGTCGCCTCAGCTCTTTGCTGTCTCTCACTCTCAGCTCCCTCCTTCTCTGCGACTGCTGTAACTTTGCCCATCCTCATCTTTCACCCTAATTATCACAAATGCTTGTCTCTTTGAACCTCTAATCTGTACTACCCCAATCTACCCTCCAGACTGCAGCAAGATGAATTTCCCTAACATTTGTAGCATGACAGGTAGCATGACAGTTACTGTATAACTTTAAGATTAAGAGCATAGGCTCTGGAGCTATGCTGCCAAGGTTCAAATCTCAGCTTTGCCTACTAGCTGTTTGAACTTGAGCTAGTCATTTAACTGCTCTGAGCCTCAGTTTCATCATTTATAAAATGGGGGTTACAATAGAACCTATCTCACACAGTTACTATATCTGACCAACCTGACCAATGATAAATCCTTTGTAAGTGTTAGCTATCACTATCCTCAGGTCAGTTCCATGCTTAAATACCCACGAATGTACCCGTTGGCAGTAAGCTAAAGTTCAAATTCCTTTGTCAGCTATACAAGACCCCTGATGATTTCTCTTGCCGACCAGTCTTGCTTGCCTAACTGCTCCTGGATCTTTGAATATTCTGTGCTGTTTGTTACTTTTGGAACTTAGTTGTTTTTGGAAGACACAATCCATTTGTCCACCTGGAAACTCCAACTGATGCATTAAGAAGCCACTGAACTGTCACCATCTCTGTGCAGCCCTTCCTCGTCCCTTGGGCCTAGTCAACAATTTGTGCTTTGACCACCAGCTAGGCTTGCTGTGTACTCTACACACCTTGAGTCCCGTACCTACTGTGTTGTATTGCAATTATTTGTTATTGTTTATTGAAGTTATCTGTTCACACGTCTGTCTCCCCAACTTGACTGTATCTTACTAATTCAGGCACAGTGCCTGAATAGTGCCTGGCTCATGGCAGGCGCTCAGTGAAAGTCGGCCAGGTAAATGAGTGGGGCGGGCTACTGGCCGAGTCAGGGTCAGACACCGGTTTTGACCCTGTATTCTCAATACAGCCACTCAATGGCTATACCTATTGATGTCAGGACATACACTAAATAGTCTCTCTAAACTATATAAATGTGTTTTCTTCTTAAGTTTTCTCAATCTTCTTCCTCAACGTCAGGCTATCAGATTTACTTATTTCTGTCTGTAGCTTCTAGCCACATTCTCAGTCTCTCCCAGTCAGCTGATGCCTAAAAAAAACCACATACTAGAACAGCATATGTGAGAGCACTTCCAAGGAATTCCTATAAGCAACAAATAAGCTTTTGTGTATAAATTTGAGGCACCAATGTCAACTACTCAAAGTCATTCTTTGATTTTTTTTCAATTTAGCTGTTTATACTTACTATAGTTTAAACATGAACATTCCAATTATAGTTGTTTGTTTGTTTGGTTCTTTTTTGTTTGTTTCATTTCCCCTGTGTCCATATGATGGGCAAGGGGTAATCTGTTTGGATCTTTCACTTAGTTCATTGAGCTGATTATTTCCAATGTTTGTCTTGAGATCTTATAAACACATCTTTAAACTGACTCGGGCTGTTTCGTAAATGTAAAATTCCAAAGTAGCTATGCTTTGTGATGAAGAAAATCTACACATTTATTAGAGTGATGATAGAGATCAGAGGCCAACATGTTTCAGTAGACCTGAATATAATAAACATATCACATAATGAGGAAAGAAGGAATCTTAGGAGTACACTAAGTTTGTCCTTTGCAGTGGCACACAAGAGTACAATTCAGCTGAAAGACCTCCTCAAGCAAAAGACTCCACAAGGCTCCTATTCTTTTCTTTACAACGTTTACTGCCAGATTCTTTTACATTAGAGCCAATGGAAGTTCCCCTGACCTTTCCCTCTTGTTCACCAGCTGAACTCATGCCCTGTAGACTTCCATCCACCCCTTGAACACAAAGCCTTCCCACGTGAATACGCTTGGATATTGCGGGCTTCCCCGCCTACTTAATCTAAAGCCATGTCAAATAAAACACAAACCTGTGATTTACCTATTTCCTCAACATAAAAGCACTTTTGATCCACAATATCACCATTGCTAGTTAGGTTGATACAGTAGGGTATCCAAATGGAGGTATAAGATGAATTAAAGTAACAGCTGTTTTCTCCAGCGGAGACATAATCGGGGCATTCCTTCCATTCTTGAGTCTGTTCTTGAGTGCTCCTGAAATGGAGGGTGAAAGAGGGTGAATTGTTCAAAAACTCATGCCATAGCTTAGTCAAAGTGAGGTGCTTGACAGTCAGATGCAATAAATTGGAACACAAATACTTATGAGCAAGTATTTTAGTGGTGCCACTTCCAAGAAGTATTGCATCTGTAGGCACCCTCAGTATTTGCAGACCGATAGGGGGCCTTTTGGTACTTCTGCCTACAGGAAAAGCACCTGTTCATTGACTGCGTATGATGTGCCAGCTCCTGAACTAAGTGATTCATTGGTAGGTACTTTATTACCCCATTATACAGATGAAGGTTTTGAGGCTTAGGGAGGTTTAAAAATGCCCTTCATTAAAACATGGCAGGCAGTCAACTCCCAAACTATAGAGATTTCCAGAGAACTGTGAGTCATTAGACCTGGGTGTTTCCCTAACTCATGGTGGAAGGAACCAAGGCACACTGATGGCGCTCTCTAGGCTGAGTGACACTAAGGTTTGGGTGGCTCTGAGATGGAAAATCCGCTACCACCCTACTCTGAACCATCCCATGTCCATTGCCTGATGGCTGTCCTATGCTTGGGGGAGCTCTGTTGATGCTCTGAACTCTTCCATACATACTTCTGACTTTTTCCTTAATTGCATGAAGAGCCATGAGAACATTTCTAACACGCTGGACATCCAGGTGACACTTACGGGAATCAACATGAGAATCCTAGCCTCTCTCTCCCATCCCAAAAGAGAAAAAAGGCCTTAACCCAGAAATTAAAAAATCTTTCAAAACCCAGCAAGCATTTTTCTTTTCCATTTTGTAACTAGGAACGGACACTTAATTATAGTATATATAAAAAAAGCGAAAACAAACATTGGATAAATTGAATCAACATGTTTGCTTATGAGTTCCTTTTTTTTTTTGGTTCCTCTACAAAGAACAAGTTCCTCTTTTCTTATATCTTGTATCAGATAAAGACAAACAAAACAAACAAATCACGGACGATAGATGGGAGAACACTGAATATATCAGAGAAGCTACACTTTCACATTTACATTCCACTATAAAGTTACTCATCTCTATCCCACTCCACACAAAGCATCATTTACCCAGATGACTTAAAACAACAGCAGGATATGTGTTGAATGGAAATGAGATGCCAGGAAGTTCACTGTGGGAAGGAAGTCTGAGTTTAGGGAAAGGAAATTCCCTGGTCTGCTGCCAGGGGGACCTGAACAAAAAATGCAGAGCAATCAAAGGGTTGCTCAGACTCAAGTGCCCCCTCAGCAGGAACGGAGCAAACATGTGATAGAAAGGGACACAGCTCTCCAACATCCCAGCTGTCTGACTGACTGACTGAATTCAGCAAGCCACCTTTGGGAGTCTACTATGCAAGCACTATATAAGCATTATATCCAGCCCTAGCATTGTGTGGACATAATGATTAAAAAGATTTGGTCCCTACCTTCAGGCTAGAAAAAGACTCAGAAATTACATTCTGAGTACTTTTTTGGTCTCCTGCATTCATTCCATTGATATTTAATAAGCACTGATTATATATAAAACACTGTGCTGGGCATTATGGGGGATTTGCGTGTGTCTAAAGAATTGCTCCTGTCTCAGGGGTATGATTGGAAAACTGTATCACAAAGCAGTGTGGGTAAGTGCTCACAGATAGTGCTCTTTAGTCTCCCTAAGAGTTCAGAAGAGGGAATGGTTGCTCTGGCTGTTCATGGAAGGCTTCAAGGTGGAGGTGGTGTTTCTAGCAATCTTGAGGATGGGTAAAAGTTTCACAGATGTGGCAATAGGGAAAGGAAGAGAGAGAATAGAGTGGTCAAAGGCATTGAGGTAAGGAAGTATGGGCATGAATGTGGTGAGGGGAGCAGGAAGCAATGGAATAATTGGGAAAAACTTCCTTAAATTAGAATTGCTACTTGGGTGGGATAATTCATTATTTGCTTATTATTCATTAGACTATCAGGTGAGAAGAGGCTTTATAAGTCAAGGAGATATAAAACGCCAGGTAATTTGTGGCAGAGGAAAAAGGCATTAGGCCCAGGTGTGAGGCTGACAGGCCAGATGGGAGGTGTGTGAGCATTCCTCTGGGGGATGGGCGCTGCCGGCTGTGGGGAAGGCAGGAACTGGAAGGAGGGGTGAGGAGCTGGGAGAAGACACGTTTCCTTTACAGCTGTTTCTCAGGCTGATCTGTTTGGCACTAGGAAGAAACTTGTGCAATATCAGGAGGTCCTTGGGACAGCTGCTCATCAGCTGTTGGAAAGTACTTGGAATTAAAATGGCAGAAACACCAGGGTCTGAGATAGTAAACTGTTACTTAAATTCTAGTTGAGATTTTTAAGAGCTATATACCCTTGGATGAGAGGAAGATTCATCCCTGATGGGAAAAAAGTAGATAGAGGGTAGAAGCAAGGATAAGTGTGTGTGTGTGTGTGTGTGTGTGTGTGTGTGTGTGTGTGTGCACGCACACATGTGTGCACACACACACACACACATGCATTTATAATAGGAAAAGGATTTTTTAAAAAGTTAGGGATAGGTGGGTCATTGAACTATAGTGTGGTTTATTTTATCTTGAGTTTCACACTAAATAAGAGTACATTACAGAGTTTAACAAGGTTGTACATAAAATGGTTTAACAAGATTGCCCAGAGAATGAGGCTTTCATATAACAGTAGAGGGGATATCAAGTGTATTTAGCATAATCAATAGTATTAAATTTAGTATTAAAATGTCCTAAAGATGCAGGCCAGTGCTTAGCAGGTCTGGGTTTGTTATAGGGAAGTTAGCTCTGTGTGTTGAACACAGTTTCTCAACTTGGGCACGTCAGCACTCTGTTGCCATGGTGACTGTATAAAAAAACCCTGTTTAGATTATCCCAAATCCATTAGTTCCAAAGAACAAACAACTTAAAACAGTTATCTTAAGTATGATGGATCAGGAGGAGAGAGTTAGTTCAAACACAATTCCCAAACCCTCCCCCATTAACCAAAGTTGAATTTTATTTTAAATAAATATTTAACATTTATTTTTAAACTATTAAATTTAGACCACCCCCCCAAAACAAAAACAAAAACCCCAAAACCCACCAAACTGACTCACAAAACAGATATTGTATTGCCTGCCTTCACTTGGTTGAGTTTCTATACAGATGACCAAAGCCAATTTACGGAAGCTATTCTCTCCTTTTCTTAGTCCCCAAAGTTAAGTGCTCTAGGTTTCTGGTCTACCTTGGGAAATAGACGGAGTGGGAACTGTAGAAAGGGATGATCAATACAAATCAGAAGAAAGAGCAGAAGAAATATTTTCCATCTATAGATAACCAATTACAAAAGGAATAAAAAGAGAACATCATTCATGTTTTAAGGGCAACTGTTGTCATTATAGACAGCTCATGTGCTTTAGGCTTAAAACTGAACATTTCCTTAGAAAAAAGAAAGCAACAATGTGCTTTCTCCCTTCTTGTTTTCCCCCACAACCTGGCATGGAAAACAAATTTTCTTTCAAAAGGTCAGCACAATTTGTTGAGGAGGGCCATTTGGGGGCTGGCAGAGGTGGGGGGATACAGCCTTAGGGACTGAGTCTTCACACCCCCACTTGCTCTGACAGGCTCCCAGAGCTGCCTTTTGCGGTTCCTGTGATGTGCATTCATGCTGAGGCCCCTCCAAGCTCGGAGGCTGAATCTGGCATGGTCTCCATCACAGGGTGGCAGAGGCTATTCTGAATGGGCAGCCTCTCCTGTCAGCTCACCTGGCGGGGAGGAGCACCAGCCAAGAATGGGCTGCCTCTGCATCTGTCCTGGTGACAGTCTGACATGTTTAGGTTCCCTTGTGCTTTAGTTACCAAGGCCAGGCCCATGAACACAAAGCCGGGTGCTCGGCTCCTTTTCGGCTGCACTTGCCTCACGGCTCTGGTTCTGGATGAAACCATGTCACCGTTTTATCTGTGTCAGGGATGGGGTGTCATGATTCTGTAGTTCCAGGAGCTGCCTGGGAACTGAATTCTAAGAAACAGTGACAGGAGTCAGAAAGAAGAAGAACACTGGTGTCCTCTTTGTGTAAGTGGACAATGTGTAGTCTAACACTTCTGTACACTACTCGCTGTAGCCTAGTTCTGATACTCCTAAACACTCCTGTCCTACCCTTCCCAGATAAACCGGGTGGGGGGCTTAGGCTATTTTGGGTAAGACATTCACAATAAACATATTTTTATAGAAAAACACACAAAACACTGATTTTGCCAGTTTGGGTAAGCACTAATCACAAGGTTATAATTAGGGGGTTTGAGGATGTGACAATTTTCCCCATGGGACCCCAAACTCCAATAGGGCCTGAACTAATGACATCCTTTTGAATATGACCGAGATTCTCCCTCCACTTGGTCACACTTTCAGGGGCATCTCTGTTGGCACAGAGCCAAGCTTGGACCATGGCCGCTCGCTGAAAGACCTGGGCTCTGCAGAGGGGACTTGTAGGTGGCCTGGCTCACCCTCTGCTATAACTCTCCCCGTCTACTGCCTTGCACCATCCACATTGGCCCTCTGCTTTCTTCAAACCTGCCAAGTCGACCCCAGGGCCTTTGCACTTGCAATTTCCTCTGCCTGGAAAGCCTTTCCCCTATGGTCTCTCTTAGTTCCTATGTCTCTACCATAATGCACCACATTAGAGACACTCCTATAACCTCCTTATTTAAAATGTCACCCAAGCTTCCTGTACACACATGCATGCACACTCACCCACACGTTCACACACTCACCCTCAGACATTCTCATGCACACACATATACTCACATACAGTGCTGACACTCTATCCTCTTTCTGGCTTTACTTTTCTTAATAAACCATATTATCGGCTGACATTTTATTTTTAAATTTTATATTGTCTATCTTTCCCCACTGGAAATGAATCTCTATGAGACCAGGGACTTTATTGTTTTTGTAATCACTGCTGTATTTCCAGTGCCTAAAATAGTACTCAACACAAAGTCAGGGCTTCACTCATATTTTTTTGAATAAATGAATGAATTTAGGTCATAAACCTAGAGCACTTAACTTTGGGGAATAAAAGAAGGAGAGAGTAGCTTCTGTAAGTTGGCTTTGGCCATCTGTATAGAAACTCAACCCAGAAAGGCAGGCAACAGAGTATCTGTTTTGTGAGTCAATTTGGTGGGTTTTTGGTTTTTTGTTTGTTTTGTTTTGTTTTTCTTTGTCTAAATTTAATAGTTTAAAAATAAATATTAAATATTTATTTAAAATAAAATTCATTTAGGTCATCATTTCCATTCCTACCAATGCATGTGGTAAGAGATAATCTATGGAGATAAGTCTATGGAGATAAAAGTTAAAAAGGCATAAAGGCTGCACCCTTTAGAATAGAACATCTGTACGAATCCTGGGCTCTTGGAACTGCGATGAACCCCATGTGTCCAGTGGCATGAGAAGGTCTCTAGTTCAGGTGAACGGCACTTGGTGAACTTGGGTTTCCCAGAAGAGTCTGCAGAATAAAAAGAAAATGCAAGGCATGAAATCAGGAGGGTAATGTATGGCATTACTGAAACTTATATTTAAAGTGGTAGAGAAGAATCACTTCTTCCAGAAACACTGTTTACCTAAATTAGTTTCAGAGCTTTTCAAGCATCAGTTATTTCTCGGTCAGCCCTTGATCCCGGGGACAAACCATTTTTGTTTTTATTGCAAACATGATTTCTTAGAACCTGTTTTAAGAAACCAGGGCTCGGGCCTGCTGAGTGGCTCGTTGGTTAAGAGTTGTCTTGGGAGCGTGAGCTCTGAGCAGCAGGGCCACCGGTTCGGATCCCACGTGGGCCACTGACGTTGCGCCCTCTACAGCTAAGATGGTGAACAACGGCTCGACCTGGAACTGGGCTGCCGTGAGTCACTGGCAATGGCGTAGGCTGCAGTGGGCTGCCATAAACTACCGTGAGTGGCCGGCAGCCGCCATGAGCGGCTGTTGAACGGCCGGCGAGCGACTGCCTCACCTAGGAAGAGCACAATAATCACAATACCAACATGGGTCAGTGAAGAGACGTCCTCCACAACTAGACTGAAGAACAAAAGGACAGCAATTTGTCTGCTCCCCTTCCCCGATTCTCCAGTAAAACATCTTTAAAAAAATAAATAAATAAAATATATTGTTAAAAAAAAGAAAGAAACCAGGGCTAGAAGGCTGGCTGAGTGGCTCAGTTGGTTAAGAGTGTGAGCTCTGACCAACAGAATCACCAGTTCGATTCCCACCTGGGCCAGTGAGCTGAGCCCGACTTGAGCTGCCGCTGAGCTGGTAAGAGCATGTGCTCTTAGCAGCAAGGTTGCCAGTTCGGCATCCATATGGGATAGTGAGCAGCGCCTCCCCCTGCTCCTCCGGCCCTGCAACTAAAATTGAAGGACGACAACTTGACTTGGAGCTGATGGGTCTTGGAAAAACACAATGTTCCCCTTCCCCAATTCCCCAACACTGTTCCCCTCCCCAATTCCCCAATAAAAATCTTAAAAAAAGAAGAAAAGAAAAAAAACCAGGGCTAGAGATGAGGATTTGGGTACAGGTAGTTTATTTGGAAGGTGACCCCAGGAACTAGACACAAGAAAAAGGGATTGAGAGAAGAGGAAGAAGAGCTAATAAAGTGTGTGTGTTTGGCTGGTTGCCACAGTGGCCAGCTGGGGCCCAACCCCACAGAAGCTCCTCTGAGAACCTGTGTGAATATGTCTTCCTGGTGTCCTAGACAAGTATGAGAGGCTGGGTGTTTATCTACCAACTCCCATCACCCACTGGTTGAGGGTTGCCCTGAAGGTATTAATGCTCATGAACTTCTAGGCTGCACCTGAACATGGGCTGAGGGTCCTCACCTGACTTCTGAGACACCTAGGAGGGCTCCTGAAGTGTGCCTAGCAATGGTGGCAGCTGCCCACCGCAGATGGCTGTGCTGGCATCAGGTGGGCCAAAGGGATGTAATGTGGGGATCACAGCATCCACTGCAGGGCCTTTTCTCTTTTCATAGATTTTTGATAAAAAGTCACTTATGTTTGCATTCTTTTAAAAGATTCAGCTAGTAAACTTATTAAATAGATGTCGACTATAAACAACTTAGGCATACATCTCTGTCAATTCTAATTGGATAGTGGAGAATGCCTCCTCTATGTTAGGGAATTAGCCCAAACTCCTCTGCATCTATGAAATCTCAGCTGTGGCTGTGCAACAGACAATGAGGCAAAACCAATTTTTGTGTATCAGTTTCATTGTTCTTCTGACTTCCATGGCCATTTTGGAGATGGTCAAGTTTTTCTTTTCTTTTCTTTCCTGTTTTTTGCTCCTTATTTGATTAGTCTTCAATTCAATTGTAAACTTAATATATTTGTTCTTTGACCCAAAACTCTAATTCAATAGGGAGGCTCTCCATCTTAAATTAGCTTTATAAATACTTTAAAACTTAATTTAAAAAGAAATAGGATACAAACACATAAAAATTCTTGATTCCAAGTCTGGGTACATATCTGTGTTCTGAACTGAAACATGCCTCTTTTTTCCTCTGTCAACAAACTCCTATGGGCTAGCATGTCACAAACCTTCTCAACAAGTCCATCATTCAGTTATCCCCTCAACAAACACTTATTAAAGCATCTATTGTGTGCCAGGCCCTGTTTCAAGAACAGGGCAAGAAACAAAACTGATACTGTCCTGGTCCTCGTGGAGTTTCCCATCCACTGGGGCTGAGGGAGGTGGGGTCCCATGCAGAAAAATACGCAGGGTCAGAAGAGATGATAGGGCTGGGAACTGGGCTCCATCTTCCTTCTGCTAACACCCAGATTAATGCAGCAAAGAAGCTCAGTTGTTTTATAACACTGACTATCCTCAATAGTCTGGCTACAAACAAATAAATCTTCGGGAAACTCTGAATTGAAGATAGGCCCTTTTCCCTGGGAGCATACATCAGGGGTGGCAGAATTTTCTTCTTAATAAAATCCCATGGTCATGCTGTTGTAAGAAAGGCTCCTTTTCTTGTATGAGCTAAGAGATTTACAGGAGTTTGGGGGCATGGATGGGGTCTGCCTTGGTACTAAGGGCAGAACGTCAGCCCTGTGGAGGTGGTCAGCATGTAAGAACCCCTCTCTGAAGAGGGTAGGAGCCTTCATGATCACAAATGAATACAGTGAAAAAGGTGTGTGTTTCATTAGGCAGCACCTATCATAGGCTAGAGTACCCAGAAAAGTTCCTTTCTCTATTAGCTAAAGCACTGAGAACAGCATTTTTTGATCCTTCCAGAAAAATCAGTGATTAATAAAACATATTTAAACCACAACTATTTTAATGCCTGCAGGTTTGAGGAGAGAGAGTATTTCACATTCTAACTGTTCTTTCACACAGAAGATAAGAAGAGGAAATACACAGGATTACAAAATTGAGAGATTTGTGTTCTCATCCTGGCTCTGATCCTATTTAGCTTTGATCTTCCAAAAGCCTTTTTGGTTCGTGGAGAAGGAAAAAGAGAGGGAACTGAAATGAGAGAGGAAGGTTGGAGGGAAAGAAGTCTTTGAAGGGAAGGCACAACCTTTTTTCAGAGCTCTGGGCAGGCATCTGCCCTTCCATGTGGGATCTCCACTGAACCACGTCTTGTGGACCATCTGCTGTCAACAGTCCTGGACACTTGTTATCACCCTTGAACAGAGGCTGGGGACTTAATATCTTGTGTGGGGGGAGGGGCTTGAAGGGAAAACCTTGCCCTCTGACCAAAGTGTAACTAAACATAACCAGCTGAGAATTTCCTTTTGAGTTGGGCAGCAGTAGACAAACAATAAGAAGAGGAAGAAAACAAAACAGTAGTTCCTAATATGATTAAGAATTAAAACTTGTAAAGACACATGAAGAAAAACAATTTTATAGATAGATAAATGAACTTCAAACATGATTGTAATCCTAAAAGAGGAAAGAAATTATAGGACCAAGCCAGGCTATGTGGTTATATGTGCATGAAAAATGAAATAGGAACTATTGTAACAAGAGAAAAGCAGGAGGCACATTGGACCAAATGACTTCTGGCTCCTTTTTTGGTCGATCTGGGTTCTGCTAAGAAACCTGCATATACAGTCAATCAAGGGTCAGTTTTATTGGGTTGTTGGAAAAGTCATGATGCATTTTTGCAACGAAAAACATAGAAAAATATGTCATGACTTTTCCCACAACCCAATAGAAGAGAACAGTCACAGCAGGCTCAGTCACCCTGCTGTGGATAAAGAAGGATAAGGAATGGCTGCTGCTGAATATAAGCCAAAGTGAGGAAATAGTTGCTGTCAGTTGAAATAGCTTTCATATGTTCTGAAGATTGCACAAGCACACTGGTGCAGGCCAAGTATGGTGAAACTGTAATGTTCCTTCCACAAATAACAAACAAGAGATGGTGATCCTAGCAGAGTTAGCCCACTTCCCAGACTTCGCCTACACGGACTTTGGGTAAACTGGGTAACTGATGAGCATAAATGTATCAGTGATTTAAGAACATCTTTGAATGAAGCATCTATGTTTGGGTAAAGCAATAGTATAGAACAGAATATTCATGATCTTGGAAAGTTTGATGAGAGATGTGAAGATATAATTCTTCCACGATGGAAAGAAAGAAGTCACTGCATTCAGCATAGTTGCTGTGCCAAATCCCCTGCTCAGGCAAAAAAACAGTATGGAAGGGGAATAACAAGATCGTAATAGCAACAGGGCTTCTTGGAGTTGTCACATGCCCATCGCTGTACTGCATGTTACATGGATTAACTCCTTTAATTCTCACAACTATGGGATGAAGTAGGTACTGTGATTCTTACCATTCTAGAGATGAGGAAACTGAGGCACAGAGAAGTAAAATAACTAGCCTAAGGTCACTTGGTTAGTAAATGGAAGACCCCCGATTCCAACCAGGTAGTCTTGTTTCAGAGTCTGTCATCTAGATCACTACGCTCTTAGCTTTCAAAGTTTTTGAAAGTGACCCTCAGGAAGAAATATTTTTTTTACATCATGACCCAGTATACACATATTTATTTGTGTGTGTGTGTGTGTGTGTGTGTGTGTGTATATATATATATGTATATAAAATATCTAAATAAAATATTTCAAAACATATAAACTCAATGCTTGCTATGAACTCTGATCTACTCTCTTTCAGTTTATAAATGATGCTACTTACAACCTGGTAAATTGATTTACTAATGGGTCACCACGTTCAGTTTGAAAAACATTGCACATGAAGCTATTCTAAGTCTATGAAAGTTGAAAATTAATATGAATGTTGGTCGGCAATTTCCTCAAAACAAGGCAAGAACATTTCATGTATCTGGCACAGATTATGAGATGATCAACAGAACTACATTTTCCAGGTAACTGAAACTTACTCTTGAAATCATTTTTCCCAAAACATAGTAGGATTTTTTTGAATCATGAACAGAGTCTGTCAAATGTCATCTGACCTTTTCATTGGTTTTGCATGAGGATCAGAAATTATC